TTATTATAATTAATAATATGATAATATATAAATATAATATATATAATATTATAATTATCTTTTAAATATTTTAATATTTTTTTAGTAATAACTATTTATTTTTAATATTTTAATTAATAACATATTTTAGATTTACATGTCAAAAGTATTATTATATAAGATAAGATACTATGTTGTATACAAATTATATATACTAATGAAAAAGAGAGACTCCATACCTCAATATGTTTATTTTAAAAATAAATAACAAATATTTAAAAAATAATAATAGAAGTCTAATGATGATGAATGATTTATAAATTAGAAAATAAAAAATAAATATTTTAAAAATAGAAGTTAAATGATAGTGAGTAATTGTATTTAAAAATTTAATTGACAATAATTATAAGGGTTCAATTGTCTAAAACACGTTGAAGACAAAAAAGAAAAGTTATAGAAACCCTATCCTATATATATTAAAGAATATTATTTTTTTTACTTATATAATATATTACACACATACTAAAGTATTAGAAAAGTGATTTGTATAATTAGAAAATGAGTATTAATTATTATATTTTATTATAAAATATCAAAATTTAAAAAAAAAACATAACTTTTAAGTGATAAAATATTAATTATTTACAATTATATGACCCAATTCTTCCTTGTATATAAATTAAAATGATTATCTTGATTTTTTATGAGATTATTTTTAGCTGATTTTCTTGAGTGTACTTAAAGAATTTTTATAACCTTTCAAAATCTCATCTATTTCAATTTACCTTTCTTAGTTATAGTTTTATATTGAATTAAGTTTTTCTTAAATTATCAATAAATAAAAATAATTTTATATTACAATTTAAATTATTTATTATAAATTTAAAATATAAATATTTACTTATATTATATAAAATAAATACTTATCTTGAAACTAAAGTAACAGTTTTCTCCTCATATTTTTGCGTGAACGCATCCGCTGAATGGCATTTATTTCACGCGCCACAATTTTCTGGCTGGAATAAGGGACGTAACATGAAAATAACTCTGTATGGAGGTATCAAGGGTACAAACTTCGCATAGACTTTACATTAAATTTTTTATATACTGCTCTACGTATATGCTCACAACTTATTTGAAATTTGAAAAAACAAATAAAAATGGGCAATCGAGAGTTGGAACTTGGACGAACTGAAAAATGAAAGATCTAAACACTCCATTATATAACACAAAAAATCAATATTTTTCCCCTTTGCACTGCAGAAGGGTCTCATCTATTTAAGATGACAATACAACTGGTCAACTGGATAAGATGACAATAAAAAATGAGTATGAATAATGAAGTGTGAAAATAGTAATACTGCTGGCTCTCGTATAAAGGTGGTCGGCATACACATCTACTTAGACCAAGCAACTGCATCTATTTCAGCTTGTGCACTCCGGTATAACTCTAGTCTCTTTGCGAGGGCACTTCGTCGTTCCATGATTGCAGGATCCTCATTCAGTAACGAGGACAAACGCTTGGTCTGCGAAGAGAATTAATGCATGCAGTCAATGCTTAATTTCTTTGGCCAATATCAAAACCAATAATGATATATACATACAATGTATCAAGTGAAAACTCTTAATTATTTGAAAAATGAAAAATTATAAATCTCGACCATTCAAGATTCAACTATATATGAATGATCAAAATTAAAAATTATTAATCACGTGACCACTAAAAAAAAATCATGTACATTTATCATTTGTCCGGTGAGAACTCTTGATTGTTGCAGAAATGAACAATAAATATAGTTTATTAGATCATATTTGAACAATAATTAGATTTTATTTGAATGATGAAGTTTAAAAAAATAAATGTACTTAAAACTCTGGAAAGGAAGATTTATTCTTACCTCCATTTTGCCTAGCTCAGTGAAAAAGTGATCAAGTAAACTTCGTTTTGCCTCCCGCACTTGACAATATACGATGGACTTGGGAATCGAATGCCGCAGAGTAGCACAGACCATATTGACATATGACAAAATTGTGGTTCCTGTTTACACAGAGTTTGAGTGAATGGTCTGTACTCTGTAGTAGTTCGGTGCATGTGCATGTTGAACAACATATTGGTGGACATATCAAACTAAAAGAACATATCTGTAATATAACAAGTTTGGGACTGCGAATAGTAAGACTTACCAATTCGCCTTAGATATGAATCATTATATCTATCAAAAATTGAATGTGTGGGATTGCCACCCTTATCAACATCTTGAGGAAGCTTCCGAAAGAAATCAACAGTCAGATAGCTACACTCCATATCTACTAGCTGCAGTGTTGCTCTTTTGCTTTCGTCCCTCATTCTTTCTAGCGAATCAACAGCTGCAGCCCCAACCTCAACCCGGAGACCAGGATACTGCTTCAAGTCCTGTAAATCATCCAAACTATGCATTAGCTGGGAAGATTATGAACCCCATAGAACTTTGAATTAATGGAAAGAAAAAAATTAAAGCTCCAGTATATGTTAAGTAAAAGTCAGTAAAATTCCAAAACAATAGCAGTTTAATCATCAGTTCCACATTGATGACTTATCTCCGTTAAATTCCAACATAGATGCATTAGCATTCACAAAACCAAACAGAATTCATTTAAAGGAAAGGCCAGTTCCTCGTTATGAAAAAACTGAGGCCATATGTCAAAGTCATTTTAAAGCAATTATGGTCAAGCATTAAGAAACCCTTTACTCTATCTATGCATAACAGGTGAGTTTTTCATCAAACCATTTGAGAATTCGCAAAGCAAATACAGAGGGTTAGATATTAATGTGTAACATCTCCAACATACATATCTTAATACTTGATCAAAGAAAACCCAAAAACAATGCAAGTTTCAACTTCTAAAATTGAAGCATTTAAAATGGAAATTTTATCATATCGCTATAATATATGAGTTAAATATTTATTATATATAACTAAAATATATAATAAATTATATATATAAATAAATACTATGTTTGAATATATAAATTATATTTAAAGTTTGTATAAATAGATATTTTAAATATTTAATTATATTTTAGATTTATGATAAATAATTTATATTGTAGCACAATATTATTTTACTTTATTGATTACTTATTTTAATTTTTAAAATTTAATTCATAAATATTCATGATAAATAAAAATCGAATTAAATAAAAAGTTAAAAAAATCTCGAAAAACCCTCTTGTCGAAGGAAAAATCCCTAAAAATGCTTTCGCAAAAGATAAAAGTGTGTTTAATATACAAGGGTTGATAAATAAACCAAAAAAAATAAAATGAAATGGGAAAAGCAGCAATGCCAATAGTATGTTAAGAAAAATGTATGACAAATTTTCTTTTTAAAAAAAGTCATGTTATGGAGGGAGATAATTGCTGAGACATTTGTATGGAAAAAGATGACAAAAAGTGATTTTGACACGTTCAAAGGCAGGCGGCCACTGAAGGCCAGGGTAAAGAGAGTAGTAGATCACATGTTTTTAGCCCGATGAAAAGGGGGGTACTGGGAGACCATGAAAGATATTAGAAAAAATTATTAAAAGGAATCTTATGATGAATAATATCTTTGAAATTTGGTTTTTAATTGAACCCAATAGCATATCGGATCCATATAGCCGACCTCACCTAATGGGATAAAGCAATCATTGCTGTTGTAAATGGTATTACAAAAATTAACTGTCACTGGAATACTTGTGACAATATCAGACTCAGCACCAAGTAGTATGAAAACTTATCAAGCACAAATACAGTAGCAAGAAATTCAACAGAAAAAATATATAAGTACTGCTAGGAACATACAATGTTTCACTATAGTTTTGTGAACATCAAATATAGCAAAAAGAAATACAACAAAAACATTAAATATGTACTGCCAGGAACATACCAGAGTCTCACTGATAGATTTGTGAATCAAATCCTTTAACAGGGAATGAACCTGGAAGCATTCAATTCAAAATGACACTTAAATAAGAATGAACAGTGGAATAAGCAATAGATTGAAGTAGAATGGGCAACTAAAACAACAATGACAAAAAACACATAATACATCTAAATATCAATTTTGAAAAATTCATCAAAATAAAAACTTTTAACAAGATTTAAGACAAGGTTAATTTTTTTTAATGATTTAATCAATAAACAGGGTAAGTTGTCAACTCAGAACTATTAAATAAAA